ACCAGCTCCCACCCGTGCCTGCCACCCACCCGTCTGGCTGTCTGCCCCCATGTACCCCGGCTGGCACAAGCACGCTGCTGTCCCATTCGCTGCCTGGCCCCTCCCGCCGTTCTGGCACACCCTGCTCTCACATGGCGACTCTTCTGCAGTAGGGCACCGAAAAAAAGAGAGGGGGGGGATCAACCCAGGCGTAGGACGGGCACAAGGCATCCTCTGCACACACGGTGATGCTGGGGCTGGGCAGGCAGCGCAGCTCGGAGCCACCAACGCACTCCCTTCGGCAGGAGATGGTGGCCACATCCCCAGCTGTGGCTCTTCCCAAAACCCTTCCTCAGGCAGCACAGCCCTTTCATCCCCCTGCACCTCTTGGATGCCAGCGTGCTGCACTGGGCGTTTCTCCCTCCCTCCCTTCCCCAAAAGTCACCCCCCTGCTCGCCTTCTCCACCGGTGCAGAGGCTCGCTAGGAGCCAAATGCTTTGGCAGCACTTCCACTGGTGGGGGGAGGCCAGCAGCGGGGGAAACCGGCCACCACGGCCCCTGCCAGGGACCAGGAGAGTCCCCGCTGGCTTCAAAGGGCTTGGGACCAGAGCATCACCTGTGAAAGCAGGCCTCCAAGACTTCTGTTTAAGCACTAACCACCAGCTTTTCTCACTAAGGGAGCGGCAGCACTGAACCAAGCCCTCGGCAGAGCGGGCTGCCAGCAGAAGGAAGGGCTCACGGCCAGAGCAAAGTTTCCTTTGCCTGCACAAGCTGAAATCCAAGCCGGCAGCGCTCGGCACCCATCACAAATCACTCAAGCCCAACAGCTGCCGCAGGAGCCCCGGACTTGAAGAGCCCCCCCAAGAGCAGCAGTGTCCCCCAAGCCTGCGGTCTCTGCTCTTCAAGCACGGCAAAGAGCCAGGCCTGCCGCGCCGGCGGCCCTGCACTCACCAGTCTCGCAGCTGGTGCCTCTGAAGCCCGGCGGGCACCTGCAGCTGAAGCTGCCAGCACCATTGAGGCAGGTGGCTCCATTCTGACACGGGTGGGAGAGACACTCATCCACATCTGAAACAGAGCCCCGGGTGGGGGCAGGAGGTCAGGGCAGGGACAGGGACAGCCACAGGGACAGAGACTACCAGCACGCAGCAGTGATGCCGGGAGCGAGACCTGCTCCCTGTGGCAAAGCGCCGGGAGCTTGGGGCCGGCACTCACCAACATGGCACCTCTTGCCGGTAAAGCCGGCCAGGCAGGAGCAGGTGTAGGAGGGGTTCCCTGTGATGCAGTCCTCAATACACTTCCCCCCATTCAGGCAGGGCCGCAGCGTCAGGCAGACAGAGGCTGTGGGGACAGTTGGTGACCCCCTGTCAGCCCGCACCCCAGCAGGGCTCACCCGCCGCCTTCCAGCCACACCAGCGCTGGGGTCTGTCCCCGCACCCGCCCGGCTCCCTGGGGTGCTCGGGGAGCCCACAGGGGCTGCCTGCCTTACGGCAGGGCAGTGTCTGCTCCTCGCGGGCTCCCCTGGGACAGGGGGGCAGTTTTATTCCTCCTGTGCAAGGGGGAGAGGCTGCACGGGGGTCAGCCTCACCCGCTGGGGAGACATGGACATGCCCTCGCTTATCACCCTGGGCAGAGGGAAAGGGGGACAGGAGAGCCCATGTACAGCAAACCCACCAGTAACGCGAGACACACGCAGATCACGGGGGAGAGCAGGGACGA